CTACGTAGTCAGGGCTGCGGTTGGCTATACGATATCAGGGCTGCTGCGATTGCGATTGTACTTGGATTTCCACTTTTCATACTTTTCGCTATCAACATGACTACGTCTACATTTGCCGAAATTTCTTCAGTTGACAAATTCATAGAAGTTCAAGAAAACCACAATGCAAAGAGAAAAACACCTCAGAACCCTTGCAATTTTTGAAGAATTCCTTGCTTCAAAACAGAAATCAAAAAAATGGAGAGTATCTTGCCATTTGTTCTGTGATAATTTGAGCGAATTTGTACTCGGTTAGAAAAAAAAAACGAACCAAACTACTCTCTTTGTCCAATGTTTACTAAGAGGAAAAACTACGGATTCAGTATTATTAAGTGCAGTTTGAGTGAKCCAGTCAAGATCTTTCCTCGAAGCAAACAGATCTCAAGCAAAAACGCAAGGGAAAGACTCAAAATGCATCAAAAGCACTGYCCATGTTTTCGGGCGCTTTGATTCAAGGTGGAACTATAACATATCAGTCAGTCGTAATTCAATTAGAATCTACAAAAATGTACAAAATAGCAAGGGATTTAGACTCAGATTAGGATTAACGAAATTGAACGTTTTGCTGTTATTCTCGCCTAGGGCACGCTTTTGAATTTAAGKTATTTGTACGAAATATGTAGCCTTTAAAAACTTTAGCAGTTAAGCTTGTATTACGCTTTTATTAAAAAGAAGTAAAATGAAAATTATAGTATTTTTTAAAAGTCATGTCTAAAAAATTATACAAGCTTAAGGCAAGTTATTGCATGTAGCTACAGCGTCATTTACACTAAATAAAATCTTCAGTGCGAATTACATGAATTATCTTTGGCCTTCATGTTGTTAAAACACACCTTTATTATATCTCAGTAGTAATATGATAAACAAATTACTTCATGGTTAGTTTGCTTGTACAATATTTCTGCACTGGTCGTGATGAGACACGCTCGTAACTCKCCCGGCGTTTATCAATTTGTGCATAACTCACTAACCATGAAGTAATCCTTGTAAACAATATAAGGTTTGTAATGCCCTAATAAGCTCTAATGAAAACCAGTAGCTTTGTTTGCGGTCATGGACTCAAGCAGATTTGAAAATCTTCTACGGCTTGTCATTGGAGCTTACTAGGATTTCACACAGTTTTTACGCGAAGGATAGTATTCGAGTCATGGTACTATTTTAKATCAGAATGAAAAAATTATGCCACCGATCGGTGACAAATATTCTATTAGATAAAATGAAATTGCAAAATTTCGTGATACGATGTATAATAATTGCTTGCTTTGTCCCTCTTATTGTAYCATTGAATTGGTTCCCATCGTGATTTGTGAGGTTTTATATCTCATATTCCCCAGACAATTCAACGTTAATATACATTAATACTATTAATAATTACATTTTAAACCATGTAAACAGAATGAACATACTTAATCCGTGAAACAATTACTAATCAGTGCTAAATAGTGTTGATAAGAAAATAGGAAACAAAGGAATRAAAATAATTAATTGCTATTTTGGCACTTGTTATGTTTCACGGATTAAGTGTCGGCACTAGTACTAAATTCTTATAAATAGTGTCGATAGAGTGAAGTCATTAAACCATTGAAATAAAACTTGACTATAAAAGTGTGAAAGTCAAATACAAACAACAACAAAAATCGACCGTACTAATGTGTATAAGTGTAATAACGGGTTTTTTAACTCTAAGACACATAGGAAACAACGACACTGGCATAACTATAGAACTAGTTTGTTTTAGGTATAAAAAGTCGGTTGATTAGAATTCGAATTACAGCCTTTCTGCACACAATTGAAAAAAAAAATCGCGCACTTTAAAGGTTRTAAATTTGATGTAAATATGATGTAAAAGTCTAAAATGATGTAAATTTGATGYAAATCGTTAAGTTGAAATTTATATCATTTTGGAAACTTACATCATATTTACATCAAATTTATAACCTTTAAAGTGCGCGATTTTTTTCCAGTGCAAATACCTGTCTTAAACCATACTTCTACTTACCTAAATGTTAGAGTGAAGTCCAAAAACCCGTGAAATAGATATCATACTAATACAACTCAGTATTCCTTAATTGTATTGTTTTTCTATCTGACTACCACACTTTATAGTCAAGATTTATTGTTTCAAGGGTTTCATGAGTTCACTCTAGGAAGGGATCACCTCGTTTTGTAGTATTCAATGGCATTGTCGTGAATGGAATTGAAAGGCAATTGTTGAAATCTTTTTTCGAGGAATCCAGGGACAATTTATTACCAATGTCTTTTTGTTCCTGTGAAACCCTCCTCAATYATACGATAAAATACTTTACATTACTTCGCACGTCGGCAGTAGAATGAGCGCACCTAATTCCGTGAAACATCCTTGTTTTACTTTATGCAATTTARTATTTGGCTCCGATATACTGCTTCAGTTGTAGAATTATTTCTGTTTTGATTTTGTAGTTTCACGGATGAAATGCGTTCACTCTAGTCCAGTTAATAATTGTATTCCCTGTGTTCGTCCCAATCGCTCCGACATGCGGTTTTTACATCGTTATTGTCTTGAGGAAACTAGAATGCAAACGCGTTTTTAGGAGACTGGTACGATTATATGGAACAAGCTCGTGTTCTTTTCTCTGTTATATTACACTAGGGATCTCAGCRAATAATGATATACGAGATTAATGCTGTGTAACTAGGATCTCGAGTATAAGCCATATATATACACGAATATGACTTCTTGCCTCGAAGGCGGRCCCTTGGTTAATTAAATCTGGTACCTACAGCAACAATGGCTAGCACGGATATCAGGCCAGCTGACTTGTGTATTGATCCATATTTGCTCTAGTCGTCAGTTTCAAACGTCTGCAAAATCAGSAAGTCAAATATTAAATTAGAATACTCCATTTTCGAATTCAAAGCGAATAACCGCTGTTTTATTTGACAACAGATTCTCTTATGCAAACACCTTACGAACAAAAGAAAGCATGAGAAAATGTTAGTACAATAGCGCATTTTCTCCGAGTTKAGGCTAACTCTATATTCCCAGAACGCTCATACCTTAGGTCTCATGGAAATACAGTGTTAGTCTCAACTTGGGGGAAATACAAATTTTCAAGGCTATTGAAATTACAACCTTTTCTCTAGTCCAGTCCTGGCCTCTCGTTTCCGACGCTCACAGAATCGCTGAGGAAAGAGAGTCCAGTATAACTTGCATGCGCATTTGCAGGACCAGCCAATCAGAATAAAGTTGAATTTTGAGAGCCCGCAATTTATAATGGTCAGTGGTTTGTTTACTTCACGTGCACGCTATATTCTGTCAAAAATTCGAAAAATAATGACGGCAGCTTCGGCTTGCAGGTTTTGCACTAAAACTTGCGCTCCAGCCAGGCGTTCGGTTCTCTATAGTGCTTACGGTGATTACACTGAAGTAGTATTTACATTTTTTTAAGGCATAACTAACGGCATTTAGAAAAGCCGGTCCAAAATTATCTTTGTATTTCAAGTGGAAACTACCTTCCACCGCGCTCTCCGCCATCTTGGTAATTGTATAGGACTAGGTAACCTCGTGATTACCACATCGGTGTGGTAATCACGAKGTCRCTAMKBTGWCATGCGCATGCAAGTTATACTGGACTCTCTTTCCCCAGCGATTCCGCGAGCGTCGGAAACGAGAGGCCAGGACTGGACTACCTTTTCTCGTGCTTTCTTTTGTGTTCGGTAAGTTCTTTGCGCAAGAGAATCTGTTGTCAAATGAAGCAGTTTTTTGCCAGTGGTTTTGCACCAAAGTGAGGCACAATTGGGCAACAACCCAAAAAGTTGTAATTTTTTAGCTTGTTTCTCTTTTTTCAATTTCAAGAAAATAACTTTTGTTGGTAAAAAAATCATAATTTTGGCATTACTTGCAGCAATTATGTTTTCCGCTTTGGTATATACCGCGAAAAGTTTTATTGGCCCATAGACCTTAGTTAGAGTGGATTTCATAAACCCGTGAAACAAAGTGTAATAATTGGAGTGTAATAGATCGTAACAGTCGCGTAGAGACAATAAAAAACCATAGAGCCAAAGTGTAATAGCGATAAATACGCTAAAGTGTGTTTCACGGGTTAACCACTCTACCATATTGTTGATTAAARCATCACCTGATTTATTGTCGTCTCATTATTGACGTCTTCTTCAGATTCTAATGTCGCACGAGGTTCTTCTGGTAAAGAGTCATTGGTAATGTTATTATCATCAAGTTCATCGTCTTTAGAGCTTGTGATATTTACATCAGACAATATCGTATTGTTATCACGTGATGTAACGTCATCAGATGATGTCATATCGGTATCATATGTCGTCACAGAGGTATCAGATGACATCACGTCATCTACAAAGTGTTCTTGAAATTCTTGCTTAGAGTTTACACTTTCTTGAGTTTCATCATATTTCTGTTTTTGATCAGACTGATCGTAATATACCGATTCAACTATTTCTGCAGTTTCATCCAAAGTCTCGTATGCCATGAATTTTTTGTTRCTATGGTTRCCGTAATTTTCTTCTGGAGCCCCTGCGAAGTGTCGGACATCCCGATCACTGTCTGATTGTAATTTATGCAACGCAGCTTCAATAATGGATTTCTCTTTGCATTCAGAGGAACAGACGTATTCTAGAAAGAGCAGGTTTTTGTTAGAATACAACTAAGGCTAGAACATCAGTAACTAGACAAAACACACAGAACGTCAATATTTGTTTTCCAGGTTAATGATTCACTCTACTAATTAGTATTATCATTATTGTTGATTAGACAATAGGAAACAAAGAAATTATTAGTATCCTGGCTGTTCCACACAAGAACATCAAAAACGTAAATCTGGTTTTTTAGCTTTGGAATACAAATTAGCACCTCTATTAGTCTATTCAAAGTATGAAGATCGCTTCGACAAACTAGGGACAAGAAGAACACAACGAAAAGTAGCGGATAATAAGAACACAAAAT